CTGGAAGTGTAGACTACAATGCCGGCTGTTCTGACTCACAGACTGTAAGTATGTTTTTTATATTTAAAGAATTTGCCACTGACGATTCAAACGCGAGTTTTTTGGGCAGTGTAGAGTAGCACTTGTTGTTTGTCATTTCTCCGATCACAAATGCAGACATGGTTTTATGTTTACGCGGTGCGATGCAACGCAACGCGTAAAAAGACGGTATAAGTCATTATAATCCGTAATTATGCCTCGTTTATAATGGGTTTTAATGTTTTTGTCTCGTCGCTCCAGCCGGACAGGGCATCACAATATGGTAAGGGGCGTAACATTTCCGTCACACGCTTGAGGTATTCGGCCAATCACAACGCACTGGATAGCTGGGTAAACATCCCATGATAAACTGTTTGGTACTATTTTGGATGTTAAGGCACCTGTCCGCCAAGCGATCATGCGTCAACCACTGTAATAGATGACCAATTACATGTTTTTCAAGGTTGAACACTCATCTGCTGAGGTCATTTAGTTGTGTTTAAATAAATTCAGATTTGTTGTAGATCACCACCAGTGAACAGTGATGTTATATGTGCTGTGGTCCAGAAGAACAGCTTTATTGCTGCATTGTTAGCAAGATTACATTCACCTAATGGATTTAGGTAATCCGTATCAGAAAATAAATCCGTGTCTGGCTGACCACTGTGGCTCAACATAATATACTCACTTTACCGATACATGTTTGATTTTCTACTTAGTACCAAGATAATATCTGCTGGAGATGTTATTCATGTGTTTCATCAAATCAAATGTTAAATTCTGTTTATGTTTGTTTTCATGACATCCACAGTAAAATTGTGTTTTCTTACAGAAAAAAAGACCTTGCTACAACCAAAAAGGACAGAGTGACTCATTGCCTGACGATATGTGAAAACATTGTGGCACAGTCGCTGAGGTATGCAGTAGTCAATGGACGGACACATCAGATTAAGGATAATCAGATTTGGTCACGTCTTATGAGTCATTGGCAACAGCCTATTGATGCTGAGGCTAGGCTGGCTTTTTCACCCTTACAATGCAAATTCAGTGAAGGCATTCAAGATGTAAAATCCTGAATGATTATAAGTTGCCTATAGCAAGTTTTAATATAAGTGCCAGCACTTGAAGTTCTCAAAGTCCATTTCTTTCAGCTTGACTACACTTGAATACAGAATAAATCTGTTTGGAAAACAATGAAAAAAAAAAAAAAGATTATTGTAAACTTTTAAAAAGCCTGCATAGACGTTTTTGATTAGATCTTTTTGAATCAGATGTTTAGGGACAGTACAGATCTAGTGAAGTCCTGGACTTTGACATAGTTTTTGTGAATTTTAATGGTAGAATTTTCTTAAATATGGTCTTAAAGTCATAACAGCCCATTTCCTACTGTTTTGGCTTTACTGGCCTTGCTGCACTCATCCTGATGCCAAACGAGAGCTGAAACTGGAGCATCATCAACAGTCCAGGTCATATACACAATGCAGCAGTATGAAGTTCATTATTCATTTTGCTGCGTCTTGACTCAAGGGGGTTAATCCTTTTCTTAACTGTGTAGCCACATCCTTGTTTTTCATTTAGCATTTCCCTTTTTGGCTATCAGTATTATTGCTAGAATGCACAACAGCTTCACAACAACATTCTTTTGAAGCTGTCAGTGTTTGAGGGTAATTTGGGTGATAGTAACAGCCAGATATAAGGAGGAACAGAACACAATCACTCCTTTGCTATTATAAACTGAACGAGTGGCAAAGTCAAATGGCCTTTGTTGGGACATAATATACATAATGCACATATTTTATCTGGACTGCTGCTAATTTGAAAGTTTTAGCCTAAATTCTTTTTAGCAAACTAGTATTATTATCATAGCTGTGTATGTAATGTGTCATTGTATTTCACTCTGTATTTCACTGTGACTTTATCAGGACATCTCCAGAGTTCCAGAAACTTCTCGGAATCGCTATGGAAATGTTCTTGTTGTGCAGTGACGACAAGGAGTCTGACGTCAGGATGGTGGCAGATGAGTGCCTCAACAAAATCATCAAAGTAAGTCATGTACAGTTTATATATCTGACATATATTATTTATTCATTTGGACTCTAATGATGATTGCAGTGCTAATATATTGTAATAAAATTTCTTTTTGTTTTACTTTGCAGGCATTGATGGATTCCAACTTGCCTAGGCTGCAGCTTGAACTGTACAAAGAGATTAAAAAGGTAAATCGGATTGCATTCTCTTTATTCGATTTGAACGTATTTTCACAAGGAAAAAAAAATTGTCTTGGCTTCCCCCTCTTTTTAGATTTGATGTAGTGGTTATAAGAGTTACATTTTGTTTTGCTTTGGGTGCGAATAGACAGTCTGTGATTCATTGTTTTGTTTTTTTCTTTTGCCGCTAATTCGAAAGTGAAAGTAAATTGCGCACGGTGCTTTTAAGCTATTTAAAAGCAAAGGAAAGTGAGGAAAAGAGAGAAAATTCAAACGAACTAAAAACGAACAATTGCTCCGGTGTGAAACGTCACACGTCCCGAGGTGAAAATTTCCTCACCGTCACAACCCTACTGTTTAAATTACTCTTCTTCTTCATATTCTATAAGTTATTCTTATCATATTCACTTTGAATGTGGCACTTCTGATTTCACTCTGTGAATGTGTATTTAGATGCTGTTGAGGGCCTTTGTTGCCAATCTGAAGTCCAGTTCTCCTACTATTCGCCGAACAGCGGCCAGCTCGGCTGTCAGCGTGTGTCAGCACTCACGCAGAACACACTACTTCTACACCTGGCTCCTCAACGTGCTGCTCAGTAGGACACTTACTTACACTCTAAAACGCACATGTGGGAAAAAACTGATTCTGTCAAAATGCTATGTTTCAGATGTCTTAATTCATCTTCCTGTTTTCTCTCTCTCAGGTTTGGTAGTGCCAGTGGATGAGGAACATTCCAGTCACCTGATTCTGGGTGTATTACTGTCGTTGCGCTACCTGATGCCTCTTCTTCAGCAGCAGGCTCCTAACACCAGCCTGAAGGGCAGCTTTGGTCTTGTTCGTAAAGAGGCAGACATCACCCCTACACCTGAGCAGCTCATTCAGGTACCAGAGCTGATAAAGTTTATTGTATCCTTGTGATTTGTGTTATGTTGATCTATGTGTACTGTACTGTATTTGTGGACATGTAAACTCTAATCTTTGGTTCTCAGGTCTATGAACTGACCCTGCACTACACGCAGCACTGGGATCATAATGTGGTGACAGCATCTTTGGAGCTTCTGCAGCAGGTGTTTCGCACTCCTCCCCCTGAGCTCTTGAACGCACTCATCACACGTGGCAAAATATCACACACCAGTGTCTTTAGAGAAGAGACAGAGTGCCGTGCACGAAGTGGCAGCATCCTCGAGCTTATTGGTAAATATTTTTATTATACAGTCTGTTGCATATAGTCAGTGCCATAATAGTTTGGTCATCTCTGCTACACTGTCAGTGGAGAAACACCTTGTGAGGAAAAATAAGGTTTGTGTTGTGTATATAAGTAGAGATCGACTGATAGTGGATTTTACCGATACTAACTAAATTAGGTAAATGTGGCTGAACAATAACCAAGTCATTTGCAGATTGTTTTTAAAATCAGTAATACGAATGAAAACCTTTCAATTAAAATGGTTGGATTGTATTAAAAATAAACAATAATGACATAATCATGACAATATTTTTAAATTAAAATAAATGTATATACATAATATGTTAAATCACTACTGACAAATTTATTATTTTTATTTTGTTGTTATATGAAATATATAAATAATGTACAAGAAGGGGTGAGAGAAAAAAGGTGCAGAAAATAAAATCAACTCAAAGTCCATGTTCCCTCACATGAACCATATGCTGCGCTTACGTTTTAGATGTATATATTGTACTTTGCTCGCATGTTTAACTACTTCATAAAGTTTATTTAGCAAGATGAGCACAGAGGAACATGGAGAAATTAAAGTATCAGCGTTGATTTTCACTGATTACCAATTTATTTGGCAAAACTATATCTGTTGACCTCTATTCATAGAAGTAATCTCATTTTTGGATTTTTTTTATGTGAAGTTGTTAAATTGTAAAAGTTTTCTTTTTTCAGTTTAATTCAAATCTTTGTTACTCATTAATAACATACTCTCTTCAAATTCAGCTCTTAATATTTCCCACACTGCTTCTTTATATTGTCTATTCTGTTTGATAACAAATCATTGATCTGTAAGTTCACTGCAACACTGCAAACAATTTCACCATGCATGAGATCTTCATCTTCTGCTTCTTCCTTCCTCTAACCCTCAAAATGAATTTTTGGGCTTTTCTGCTCTCTTCACTTCCTGTTTCCCGCATATAGCTGGTGGGTCAACATGCAGTCCTCTCCTCCTCAGGAAGCAGAAAGGTGACTTGTCTGCCCTTCTTTTGCATCTAACCTACTGACATGTTTCTGTGTGTGCTTCGAGGGCTGTCTGTGGCACGTCAGTAGAACAGTTTTGATATTGAATGTTTGGAATAGAAACATGTTTGTTGCATTGTAATGATATGCCTTGTATGTTGTGCTTGTTTTAGGTAAGCTGTTGTCAGGTGAAGAGGAGGGTTTGGAAGATGACCCTGAGAGGGCAGAGGTCACCACAGGATCATTCTCTGGTAAGTTGAGGAGGGGAGTACTGTCACGTTTTAAGACTTGCAATTTTCTCCTGATGGATGAAAAAAATCAGCCTTACAATCTCATAAACTAATCTGCAAAATAAATACAGACTTGGTGAGCATAAGAGACTACTTTCAAAAACAATAAAAAAAAGTATTTCCGACCGCAAAATTGGACGCTAGAGTAGATTTGAGGATTTGTTGTTTTGCCTGAGCACCCTAGCAACCACATAGCAACATGCTGGCACTTACGCAAAACACCTTAGTAACCACAAAGAAACCACACGGCTGCCACCATCATGGCCATGAATTTTACTTTCTTCATAAAACAAACAAATTCATATTAATTTGTACACACTCCTTGAGTTCAAACAAATGCATTGTATGAAATGTATGGAAGGATTAATGCTTTGTTTCTCTCACATTTCTTCAAGCCTCGGTTGGTGGCGACAGCTCCAGTGAAGCTCCCTCCTCATCAGGTGTTTCGTCTCTTGGCACATCAGACATCATCACAGAGCAGCCACGCTCCTCCCAGCATGCCTTGCAGCCGGGAGACTCAGTGGACCTGAGTGCATCAGAGCAGGGTGTAGGGCCTGATACTCCAGATGAGGAAGACGAGGAGGACATGCTAAGTCGCAGCTCAAGTGGGGGCGCTGGGGTCGTCAGCACGTCCGGTGACTTAGTAACCGATGGGAACCAGATGTCGATGGGAGCAGTGTCGTCGCCCCCTAGTGATAGTTCCCAGACGACTACGGAGGGGCCAGACTCCGCCGTGACGCCTTCAGACTGCGCCGAGCTCGTAAGTGTCACCAGCAGATGCTATCGGAACTATTCACCACCTTCCCCAACTCCCACAGAAGGGCCGGACGCGCTCTCTGACAGCGAGTTATCTATCTACAGGCCATCCTCTTCCTCCTCCTCTACCTCGACTTCTTCCTCCACCTTTTCTGCCATCTCTTCCTCTAGCAGTAGTGACCAGGTCAGCAGAGGACAGGGGGTGAGGCTATTGTTGCTCTTCCCTGCCCCGATAGAACCCCGCCCCTGATTTGCTCCGTCCCCCCATGCACATCCTCATCCCCTTGAGGTGTTTGAACACCTTTTATTTCCCTGATTCTGGACCAGTGATTAAAAACCTAGTCCCTACAACACTGATGCTGATCTCAGATCAGTTTTAAGGGCTTCATTTGAATATGCGTCAGTGTTGTTATTGACAACTTACACTAAAACTGTTAAAAATCATTTTTGGTAATTGAAATAAAGATAAAGTAAAATAAAAGGATTAGATTAAAACTTACGTTTAAAAAATGAAAATTCGGAATGTTGATTTGACAACCAACTTACGTTTAAATATTACAATTACTAAAACTGAAATAGAAATAAATTAAAGCTATTTAGAAATATTTAAAGAAAACAAAAACTAATAAAAATGACAAGCACATAACAAAATGACTAAAACTTAAACTAAAATTAAAATGAAAACTGACAATATAAAAATTAAAGCTAATTCAAAATTTTAAAGTGCCCTTTTCTTATATTACCTTTCATGCAGTGTGTCATGTAGCTGTATGTGAACATAAACTATCTGCAAAGTCGTGAAGCCGACAGTGCACGATAAATAAAGTTATTGTCTATCAAAAAAAAGAGTCGGCTTCCAATCGCCTAAACGAGTCTCAGGTATTTGAATCTTATTCTGTCACGGCTCTACGTCACAAAGTAACACATTTGCATAATGTCTGCCCACGTTCTAGTTGCCAACTTGCCCGCCCACAAACAGTAAAATTTCCATGTGGTTAACATCATGTCGAGAAGACGCTGTATCCTACGCTGTGAGAGTAAATTTGTTTTATCACATCTTATAATTACCACAAACTTGTTAACACCTCCATTATTCACCTGCTGCTGTATTCACCTGCTGTCTGAGAAGGCCATCTGTTTGTGCACTTCAGGTGTGTGAGCGGTGCGCAACTGCGCATAGAAACGCTCTATTACAGTCCGTGAGTACCGCATTGAGATGTCTTGGGCTTAAATGGCTTAAAATTACTTTAATGTTTAAACTGACAAGACTTAA